TGAACAATGCTGACCTCCAAGGTATCAATTGCTGGTTTATCAGCATAAACCAGTGACTTCACATCTCACCACAGGAAATAGTCCAGAGGTGTTAAGTTGCACAATCTTGGAGGCTAGTTAACAGGTCCATTTTTTGAAGTTAACTTATCTCCAAATTTTGATTTCAATAAGTCAATGGTTGTGGTCGCTGTATGGAAAGTAGGGCCATCCTGTTGAAACCATATCTAGTTTGTATCTATGTCATCTATACTCATAAACAAAAAATTATTGATCATTGGGGGTATCGATCTTTATTGAATGTAAGGTGAGCTCCGGCCTCATTTTTGAAGAAATAAGAGCCAATGATGCCACCAGCATGTAAACCCCACCAAAAGGTGCATTTTTCTGGATGTAATGGAGTCTGTAGGGTTTCTTGTGGATTAGTCTCACTCAATGTGACAATTTTGCTTATTAACAAAACCGTTAGGCTAAAAATGAGCCTCATTGCTGAACACAGTTTGTCAATAAAACTATGGGTCAGTTACTAACTGCTGTGGAACCCAATCGGCGAAGGAACATTGCATATAATGGTCTTGCGGATTTGATTCAGACCAAAATTTTGCTCAACATCTTCCATGTCATGGATGGACAGAGCCCTAATTCCTGCAACCAACAAGGAATCAATAAATTTGGATCCTCTTCCATACCTTTTATTTACATCAGCGATGTTCTCTTCAGTACGCACATTCCTTCAACGAGTTGATGTTATTGAATTTACTACAGTTCAATAGATTGCTTGCTCAGACAGACAATAATGTGCTTTATAAAAATCATAAAGTTTTCTATATGTTGCCCGAATTGACAACTTATTTTCAAAGTAAGTTTTAATAATTTCGTAGCGCTGTTCAAGTATAGAGTCTATTCATGATTATTTGCTAAAGAATACTAAAAGAAATGAAATAAGATTTTTTATAAAAATTGAATTTTTTATATCAAAATTTACACTTTAAGTTCTATCGGGCTTAAAAAAACACTCTTTATATGTATATATACAGTAAACTCCTGGTTATTTGAACCTCCTAGGGAATAAGAAATTACTTGGAATAACTTAATATATATATACATTTTTTAATTATTCACCTCCCCAAGGCCCGAGGGGCCACTACAGTCAAGGAGGCTACTCATTTTTTTTTTTTTTTTAGTTGTAAATTTTGGTACAACCCTCTCTCAACTCTTTAACTCCGAAACACAAACCTTGACAAGCAAGACCGCTGCGCGGAGAAATTAAGTTGAGCGCCGTACTTCCAGGGACAGGGATATATATATATATAATATATATATATATATTATTATATATATATATATAAATATATATATATATATATAAATATATATATATATATATATATATATATATATATATATATATATATATATATATATATATATATATATCAAGGCCTTCTTCATTAGAAGGTCTCGACACCGTGCGGGAAATTTTTTGACTGAAGGCCGATAAAAAAAAAAAAGGTGGATGGGTAAAAGTTATATAGCTTTGCTACAATTTAATACATACAAATAGTTCATAGTCTGTTTGAAAAAAATCTCAATTTCTTATTGCAAAAATAATTTATTGAGGTTAATTAATAAATTTTATAAGTAAAGTTAAATAAAAACATTTGCAATTGAGATTTCCAATTTAAAAGATGTAATAAGTAATATAAAAATAAAAATTTTGTACTAAATAGGAAAAAAAAACGTTTACATAAACTTAATTTCTTTGAGTTTAGTTTCTTTATTATTTTTAGGAGTGTGAAGTAATGCAAAGTTCTTTAAAAAAATGTTTGCCAGTATTTGGCATTGTTTCTTTGAAATAGAAAATTCATAGAATTCTGCAATAAATGTAAACTGTCGAATCAGAAATGTTCTGCAAACTCTTTTATCAAATAAAGAAAAATATATATAACAAAATAAGCACCATTGAGTTAAAGTGTCAGATGGAATAGTTAATCCTCCCCTATTTAAATTATTTAAATAATTTCCGTATTTTTCATAATATGTAATTGTCTCATCTCCAATTTCTTCAGGGGAACACTTTTGAACATAACCAGCATTATTGACAATAGAATATAAAACTTCTATATTTATGCTATCTTCTAGATCTGCTAAATTGTAAACAGTATCGATTTCCCTATCATCTAAATCAACATAAAAGACAGTCATGGCCATCATTTCCTTCTACATCAATATTTAGCTGCAGCACCAGCTTAGCATGCTGAATAAGTACTTTTTCAATAACTGATTTAGCGGTTATAAAATAAGTACCACCTGATCCTTGGCGTAATTTTCCAAAGCATTTTTCAATCGGATCCAAATAAAACCAACCTAAAATTACATATTCATTTCCCGTTGATAAAAGATAGCAAGATAAATCAATTAGGCCACGACAGGTATGTGAAAGTGCATTGCTTGTATCTTTTGTAAGCTGGCAAACTCGTTTACCAGATGTTGGTTTCATATTTTCTGGCATTGTTGCAATAGCAAGCAATTTTTTTAAGTTAACATCATCTGAAGATCTAATTATATTACGGGACTCATCCCTTAATCTAAGATTAGCACCAGGACATTTAACATTCACTATTTTCCAAAAATCTATAATCAACTCCAAAAAAATAATAGTACCCTTGACACTTTCTTGGTCTACTTTAGGATGAGTTTTTAGAGCTGCAACTGTCTCTTCACTGAATACTTGCAAACAAGTACTTACTTTTTGTCGTTCTATTGGTTTAGGATTTATTGATGTTTCAGTCAACTTTGATAACTTTAATAATTGGTTTTTTTCAAGTGTATATAAGTTAACTAAATCTCTCCAATTTGCAATAAAAGATATTTCATTATAAATAAACTGCAACTGACCTTACTTTTCTGTCAAGCAATTATTTCTAATGCACTTTAAAAGATGGACATTAACATATAAAATATAAGTTCCATTTTGTCATAACCAAGGTTTTCCATATACTGTTTTGAATTTAGAAAAAAAGCTTTGGTTAACTTTATTACCATCAGTAATAATTGCAACTACTTTGCCATTACAAATAGAACTTTCTATGGTGTCTACAATTAACTTGCATTGATCTAGTTGGAAATCTGATGTTAGATTAGTAACTGGTTAAACTCTTGCTAAAAATTCAGGACACCCATAAAGACTTTTGATCATAAATAAAAGTACAGTAGTAGCGAATTTCTCTGGATTATTAACAGCTTTTCCAAAAATATTTCCACTTTGATATAACAAAGCAGCTTTGACATAAACTTTATCTATCAATAAAACACAATTTCTTTTTTTTTCCTCAAGGTTTAATAGCACAGAACTTAAAAAAACCAAATCGTCTTGAGAATTTATTTTTGAAGTTATACGAGTTAAAGTTCGAATACTTGGCAACTGATAATCACAACACAATTGATTGAAAGTGAAAGAACTTGTTGCAAAATATTCAAAAGCCCTGGGTATTATATCAGGTGAATATACAGCTAAGCCAACAGAATGATCTCCCATTACATTTAGATGCTGAAATAATACTTGGGTTTTATGATCCTCATCTTTAACTTTTAGATATCTAAGAGCTTTATTTAAAGCTGAATTTGTATTTTAATATATTATTTTTTCCTTTCCTATTTTAATATATTACATATAATATATTTCACTGTCATTCTTATCACCTTTACTATAAAACCTTTCATAAGTATGGAACTTGAATATTAAAACAAAGCAAGTAAATATTGTTTCTAGAATTTTTCTCTTTTTTTATTTTTATTAAGGTATTATAGATGTTTAAGGTAAACTACTGACAGGTATAACCTGAAAATGCAAACTTATTTTAAGTTTTTATTTCAAGAGGTTATAATTCAGATGGAGGTATAAATCTATTACAGAACAACAACTTTTAGGTATGATATAGCTCAATTAGCTTTAGCTTTTTACGTTTGATTGTATGGACTCATCGTATGTTCACTGTAGGATTAGGTGTCAGTACTAGAGTCTATTTTATAACAGTTAATATTATTATTGTTGTTCAAAATTTTTTATTTAATTTAAAATTTTGAGTTCATGAGCAACAATGTATGAAGGAAAAATTAATTTATTCACATCCATGTTGTGAATTACTGGTTTTATATTCTTATTTACTTTAAAAGGTTTAACTTGTGTAATCTCAGCTAATGGCTTATTAGATTTTTTATTACAAGATACATATTATGTTGCTCATTTTCATTATGTATTATCATTAGGTGTAGTATTTGCCTTGTTTGTAGGATTTTATTTTTGATTTGGAAAAATTTCTGAATTTTTTGCTAAAACTTTTGGTAAAATTCATTTTTGAATTACTTTTATAAAACTAAATCTAACTTTAAAATATTTGTTTTTTCAACACTTCTTCTGAATAAGAGTTAGATTTTTCAACAACATTTTTTAGGGTTGGTAGGAACGCTTAGAAAATATGCAGATTTTCTGGCTAGTCAATTTTCATGAAATGCAATTAATTATTTACATTTAACAGCAGTATTTATATATGTAATTTTTGATGCTTTGTATTCAAAATAAAAATTTTATTCTTGGAAAAATTTAAGCGTTAAAGAAATAAATACTTTAGAGTACCAGACCTGACACAGGCAGACCCCCTAATGTATCAATTACAAGGGGTTATTGTTAGGTTGAGCTGTACCAACACCTAGTTGGGAGTTTGATACAGTACAACAGTGGTTGTACCTTATAGTAATTGTGACATAAAAAAAACTTTCTATTTTAAAAAGCTGGAGTTTTAATTGGGGGAGGTGATAATATAGGCAAAGGTGGTAATCTACAGATAAGGGGATTTTTTGAAATAAGAGTGTTGTGTAGTTATATATTGTTTTGTTGTCCTTAACATTATTTGGAAAATTACCAGTGTTATCAATATAAGCAATAGTTATAATAACAACTATCTATGAGGATATTCACATTACTATTGTATACTTATTTTTAGAAGCATTATTGGAAAATGTATTACACCAAAAGTATACATAATCAATATTCTAGTATTTCATTAGATATTGTCAGAAATCCTTCAGATGAAAGTATTGATTATGTTATTTTATCAGAAGCAGAAGTATTTGATTCTGAGAATACGCCTCTGTTTAAAAAAAAGCTGATTAAAAATAAGAAAGACCTACTTGTTATAATTTCAATGGGATTGATATTTTTTGTTGGCCAAACTGCAAATTCTGTTATTGCACCTTTCTTCAGTTTAGAGGTTTATTTTTCTTTTATCCTAATATATTTGTGTGTGTTGCGAGTTAAATGAGTTAATTATTTTTACAATTAAGTTTATTTTACTATTATTGCTTTATTATTTATTATGTTATTGCAAGCTGCATTTATTATGTTATTGCGAATTACCTTATTTCTTGTGCAATAATTGAATAAAAATGGTTTAAACAACTTTTCTTCAACTAATAATTTTATTCAAGTATTTTTTTGCCACATCTAATATAATGTAATATTTTTACATTTATGTGTTAATGTGCTGAAAAGTAAAAAGTAAAAAATAACAGTTGTTAATATAAGGGGAAAGGCAGGTTAGTTGATACGCAAGGCTAGATGATACACACAATTTCCTGTCTGACTAAATCTTTTTACAGGTGAAGTGCTGCCACCTATTGTTTGCTAATGTAACAGAAACTCATTAGTATTGACTTCAAGAGGTAGAAAGCCAAGGTATTTATAATATTTAAAAAAGTGCTTTGCATTATCACAAGTGAAATCTTCAAAACCAGGTAAGGTGTTTTTTGTTTTTATTATATTTAGAGTATTTAGTAGTTCCCCACCCTCATGTTAGAGTACATATTTATGGCTTTCACTTCAGATTTATTCTTTATTATTTATTATTATGGCTTTCACTTCAGTTTTATTCTTTGGAAATAGGTTGTAATGCGTGAAAAGGAAAAGGTAAAACAAAATGGTGGCAATAGCAACAGTTGATAAAAACATGTTAGGTTAGTTGATACATGTATTAACTAACCCTTCTTATTAACTAAGTAAATTTTCTTAAGCAATTAATATCCACCACTAAATACCTTACAGACATATTTTCTGATGAGATAACTGAGGATGATTTCGCTATCATTAAAGTCATATGGAACAGAAGGGAAGTGCATTTTATTGCATGAATTGAGTGAATGAATGAGTTTTGGAGTGGAGAATGAATGAATTGTTGGAGAAGGAGAATATGGAGGAGTGTTCCTTCAGAAACTTTCTGGGCCAATGAATGTTGGATATGTTAGACCTACTTTTATGCCAAATGATAATGACAAAGTATCATTCCTAGGCGCTAACATTCTTTACAAGCTCTCACAACCAAAAGTTGTAGGAGGCTCTTCACGGCATTCTACTCAATTGCGATTTAATTGCATTTTGAGCAAATGGAGCATTAAGTAACCTCAAAAACGCTGTTTATTTTATATAACTGAATATCAAAATAATTTAATTCAAATTTACCATAGAACCTGCTATTTTCAACTTTTATAATAATTGTTGTTTTTTCCTCATTTCATATTGCCTTAATTTTATTGGCTTTAAATCTTATGTTTTTCAATTACTTTGTATCATTATGTTATAATTATTTTGTAATAATTTTTTTAGGAAAATATTGCTAGTTTTTTTAGTATAAATCACTTTTTCAAGACTTACTTATGAAGTGTATCAACTAACATCACAGGATGTATCAACTAACAGGAATTCCAAGATTTAAAAAAAAAAACTGAATGTTTAGCAATGTCCACACACATAAACAAAATCTTTAAAGTTATCTTAGGTTACTTTAAACAATACTTTCTGATAAAAACCTTTCAGTAAATGAGGAAAAACTAAAAAATTGTATTAATTAACCTGCCCTTCTTCTACCATATATTTAAAAAAAGAAATGTTTCTAGTTACGAGCGGTGAGATAAGATAAGGAGTAGTTTAGAGAGAGAATTTTGTATCTCACACTTTTTTCACGAAACATGAAATTAAGTAATATTGTTGAATTGTGAAGGTTATTGAAAAAAACTCTTTACCCCTCTTGTTGGGAAATAGGCTAGCAACTAGCTATAGACTAATTTGTCTTGACTTGTAATTAATTTAGTGTTTTAATACCTTTTTATTCAGAGATTGAATTGCCCAATCAGCTTTAAGCTCTGTAATATTTGTTTGTTTTTAAAGTTTACTTTTTTTATTTATTTTATATTTATATACAAAATAAAATATATCTAAGGATGTTTAAAATTTATTATCATGGTTTTATATGTAACAAACCCCATATTATCAAAAAACTGCTAGACTTATAGAATATAAATATTTATAGAATTATTTATAAAATTATTCAGTATATTAGGTGCATTTTCAGGAACATACCTTTATGCATTTCATTTCATAGTTTAAAAATGGTAGCTGCAGGACTATTCAATTTCAAAAATATATATTTTATTTGATTACTTTAATATTTTCAGTAAAATATATATATATATATATATATATATATATATATATATATATATATATATATATATATATATATATATATATATATATATTACTTTATGTTTATACTAAAGATTTCTTCCATAGTTTATTATAGTTACATAAACAGTGATAAAATAGATCTACTAAAGAATTTGCACTTCACATTAAATCCTCAAAACCCATAGAGATACTCTAAAGTATACGGATTACCAGATGAAGCGTTGAAAATAGCTTTAGAAGAAGTGAAGAAAGAGTCATCTTTAAGAAAGGTTGCTAATAAGTTAGGTATATCAAGATTTGCTCTCACTGCTGAAAGGTAAGGTTAACAAATGTGGTATGGCTCCATTTCATAATTCTGAAGAATAAAGAAGATTAGTTGAATCATAAGCATGGCCAGAGATTAGGGATTTTCTCTTATGACACTAGACTTAAGACTAATAGTCAAAGGCTACATGGATTGTTGCGGCAAAAATTAAATCAGCTTCAAAAACAATATGTCTGATAATGATTTTTGTCTGATAATTGATTTTAGTTTTCTCAAAAGCAACTGTAGAGATCTTTCCAAACGGTTGGACAAAAACATTAAAAGAAGTTGAGAAGTTATCAGTAAGAACATTGTGAATAGCTACTTTAATGAACTTGAAGAGAACTCAAAAAGGATGTTGATTTATCAATGATAATTAGCTACAATGAAACTAACATGACTGACAAAAGAGGGAGAAAACTAGTTATCGTGAGAAGGGGATCATGGTATTTGAAATGTATAGTAAATTTTTTGTAAGTCTAGCACATCAGTAATGTTTATGGAAGTGCAAGTGTAATGCTACTGCCTCCTTATATAACTTACAAGGCAGCACATCTGCATGACTCTTGGTCAGAATGGTCCAGCAGGCACTGTATATAATAGATTTAAAAATTGTTCATGCTGGAGGTACAGTACGCACTTCACACAGCCCTTAGATGTGGCATTTTTTAGGCCAATAAAAATAAAATAGCGCCAGACTTTGACAGAGTGGAAAGTGGGCAATTATGGTTCTTTTAAAAAAAACCGGTTTCCAAGACTTCTGAAAAAGTACCTTGGTGCTTTGGGTGAGAAAAATTTAAGTGAAAACTTAAAAAGTGGATTTGAGGCTGCTGGTATTGTAGACCCAATTGAAAAGGCTTTCTGATGGTAATGCCACTGCCAAAAGTTACTCCAGTTGCCACAAACAGTATCTTAAGAGCTTAATTTGAGCAACAACTGGACTTTTTTGAAGAAAATAGGAAGTTTGAACCTCTTAAACAGCTGAAGAAGAGGAAACTTAATGTCTCTGCAGGAAAGGAGATTAAAAAGATTGAAGACATAATTCTGGTCAATGATGATGATTCTCAACTAAATACACCTAAAACACCTGATACCAAAATGAAGGAAACCACATCAAACTAAAGACTTTGAAGAATAATAAAAACTTGCAAATGCTGACTCATTTGACAATACTGATATTTTTTATGAGACTCTAGTTTTATATGGGTCCAGAAACAGTGACCAGGAATTGGACAAAGATCTACAACTAGAAGAAGCAACTTATGTAGAACTCCCCAAAAAATAAGTCTCTAAAGAAGAGCATTATGTTTTCGTCATTCTTGAGCTCATCTTCAATAAGAACAAAAAAAGAAACCACCAAACAGTTCTATGGAGTTGTTCTTTTTTTGAGAAAAACAAATTTACTGTAAAGTTTTTCATAAGAAGCTCTAAATCAAAAAGAAATGGCTGTATATTTCTAATTGTTAATGACAAAATGGACATTCAGTTAACTGATGTCATTTCAGTTGTGCAATCATCTTAATTAAACAATGTTATACTTTTCCTTATGAAATAAAGCACTGATTTTAAAAGACTTATTTTAAATGATATTTTGATTTCTTTATAATGCTTTTTTCTTAAATAATAAAGCTTTTTTTTTGTCAATGGTAGTTCTTTATTGTTAAATATGCCTGGTTTATTGTTTTAGTTACCCTATTACTCTCTTACTAAAGCCGTACATTGATTTTTAATGGATGGCTTTTGTTACTCTTTTTTCAGGGGGTAACTATAGGCACCATTTTCTTATTTAAAAAATGTGTAGTTCTGCTAATTTATGAATATATATCTTTAATATATGAGCACAGTTTTACAATATTTATTTAATCTATAAATTAAAGGATCTGACTTGAGAAAAAGTTTGAATTTCAAAGTGGCTTTAGTTACCCCCATCTAACATGTTGATATAATTGCTAATATTGTTATTATTATTTTAAACAACATTGCATTAAATATTTAAATGGTTTCATTTCAGGGTGTGAAGAAAAATGTTTCTCTAACAATATCTGGACTTATTTTTACAGTATATCCTCTTGTTGTTTTTATACTTTCTCCATTTATTGGAAAATATGTAAGTTTATTTTTTCCTGTTTTTTGCATAAGAATTATTATTTAGTAAATATAAATCATTATCTATATCAAATTCTAGTTAATATAGTATATTATGGAGTTTGTATATGTTTGTAGTAAATTCCATCTATCAGGATATTGATGGAAATACTTAATGAAACATTAAAATATATATTGCATACATATAAATTATTAACAAAAATTTTTATTATTTACAGAATAAGTTTTACAAAACAATCAATACTAACAAAAATAAACAAAAATTTATAAACTAAAATTGTAAACAAATGGTATTACATAATGAAGCACTAAATTTAAAAGTTAAATGTTTTTTAGTTATATAAATATGTAGTTTTATAATTTGAACTTTCAAAATCTATGTTTGTTTATTTTTTGTTAATTTTATAATGATAGATTTCAAATTAAAATTTAACTCATTGCAATGTAATATTTTTTTTCTATTGTTTTATTTAGTTGTACTCATTTTTATTTATCAAAAAAAAAAAAGAATAAAAAAATCATGAATCACAAATTTAAGACCATTTGGACCCTATGATATTAGAAAATAATATATATATATATATATATATATATATATATATATATATATATATATATATATATATATATATATATATATATATATATATATATACATATATACCAGTAATAAAATAAATTTTTTTGGTAAACAGTGCTCAATACAAAAATAGAGCAAATATATGTTATATTCGAATAAAAATTAAGATCAATTAAAGTTTCACGCTTTATGCAATAATCAGACGTTACAAACTTTATGCAATCATCAAACGCTATATGCAATCATCAGACATTACAAACAACCATAACAACAACAAAAGTCATATACAAAAATTATCTACAAAAATGCAATACAGTGTTAGCTTAGATGACATTAAAATTGCAGATAACAAATTGGTTTTTGTGGTAACATTTTGATATTAATTCATTTCGTTTATTCAATAGTTTCAAAGATGAGGTATCGGTATGTTATTTTTCTGTTAAACAAAGGTTACATGACTTTCTTCCAGGTTTAAAAGGTTCTGCCCTATCAATAATTTTCCATGTAAGAATAGGATTCCCTTTTTTTTCATTCCTTAGATATGTTTAGAAAGTTCTGTTGCATTAGCTTTACTTTCGTATTGAAAGGAGTTTTTATGTTTATACCAGCGATCTTTAAAGGTGTGCTCCGTTAAACCAATATAATTTAAACCATATCCTGCAGTGATGTTTTTACATTGCAGACGCAAATTATATTTTTACTAAGACAAATATCTTGCAAAGAACATTGTGAAGGTTGCCGGCAGTTACACATTAGAACAATTGTGTTGGAACATTAGATAATACTTATTTATTGTGTGAATTAGTAATAGCGGTAATGTTTGGGAGACAGCTATATCTGAATTTTAAATTATTCCTATTGAAAATTTTGCAAAATTTATGCATTTTTGGAAAATGTTTTTTTTCAATTGGATTTAAAAAAATTTTTTGATGTTGGTTTTTACATTTTGCGAAAACAGAGGATTAAACCAAATAATGTTTGGTGATCTTGATTTTGGTTTTGATGAGGTGAGATTTTTTTTGGAAAGCAATCTTTTCATTATACCCATTTGCTGCTAACAAATTGTTATAAAATGATGCTGCTCTATCTAAAACTTCCTTACTAGATGAAATACTGCTAATAAAGTTAGATATCATAGTTGGTATAGATTTAATAATACTAGGGGGGTGGTTAGAATTTATGTTGATGTATAATGGGTGGTCATCTGGTTTTCTGTATGGCTGGAAAGTATTTTCTAACAAGTTAAAGGTAACATCAAGAAAGTTTACACTTTTTAAGTTGATTTTTGTAGTAAGTTTTAAATTAAATTTCTCCTTAAAAAAATGAACAATATTTTTCTTAATTCTCTTGGATTGTGGTCCATTAGTTCCATTTAAACAACAAAGGTATGAAAATAACAAAGATAAACTGCCAGGATAGAGAGTTATATAACCCAATACTTTTTCCTGGGTATCTGGCTGGATTATTTCTTTTTTTTTTTAGGTACTTAGAATGTACAGAAGTGCCAGGTTACCGGTTTGGACCCAGAAAACTAGGACTGAGCTGGGTATCCTGGCACAAATATATATATATATATATATCTATCTATGTATGTATATATATATATATATATATATATATTTGTGTGTGTAAACTATTATTTTAGTGTACTTAGTTTTGCATGAAAATTTATTGATGAGTTCACACTGAAAAAGCCATTTGCAGGGGCATTAGTACATACATTGATTGTATTATGACAATGCAATTTTAAATTTGAAAAAGTTTAAAATAATTATTTGTTATTATTAAAGTGTATAATATATAATTATTATTATTTGTTTTTAATTAATTTAATTTAACTATTATTATAGAATTAAAAGTTTATATATAATATTAATTATTATTCTTATTATATATTTATTATAATTCTATAAACTAAATTATTTAATTTTATGAATAATTTTTTAATTAACAATTTAGATGCCATTGATTGGTGTTAAGTTTTTACTAATTGCTGGTTGTTTTGTAGAAGGAACGACAGAAATTCTGTTTGGGTATTTAATATTTTTCAGTTATTTAAAATAAGTTTAAATAAAATAAACGGTAATGGTGTAGTGGTATAGTGCTTGCCTCTTAAGAGAAAAGTTCCAAATTCAATCCCGACCATGTCCCTAGTAGTGTCATGCTTAATTTTTTTCTCTGTACAGTGGTCTTGTTCCTCAAGATTTGTGTTTTGGATTTATAGAGTTTAGAGAGGGTTGTATTTACAACTAAAAGTAGTTTCTTGTCTGTAATGGCCTTCATTGCCTTGGGAAGGTGATTTGAAATAAAAAATTAAAAAAATTCTACAAGTTTATTTAAATCAATAACTAGTAAAGGTTATTTTTTTTACTGAACTCTTACTTTATTCTATGTAAAATTTTATCTACCTAAGCAAAGTAATATATCAATAGTATTTAGTTGTAAATAAAATGACTTATGCAGCTTCCACATTTTTATATTTTAACTTTAATTAAGAAACAAATAAATTACTTAAAAAGATTACTTAAATTTTGTGTCATTGATTTAAACCAACCGAGTTTTATCAATAACTGAGATAGTCCATGTTAGACTTTGTTTCATTTGCCATAAAGTGCTAGAGTGTCTTAGTTTGCCAAAATCCCTATTGAATTCTGTTAAATACTTAAGGGAGGAGTTTCGTCAAATTTGTAAAAAATTTTTAATAACAAGTAAGAGAAAATATGCTTATAAAATAAATAAGCTTGTTGATCTCCCTGTGATGATATGCAATTGAGATGATATGCCACTACAATTGAGATGGTGTGGCACTCTAATTGAGATGATGTGGCGCTGCAATTGCCTCAAACTACAAAACTATTAAATACTTAATAATCTAATTTTAGATTTTATAAAAACTGTATGTTCTATAAGCCCTATATCTTTAGTTTTATCTATGTCGTAGGTGTTGTATTTTACTATACCAAATTATAATGTTGAATACTACATATTTAATAAATATGTTCATCCAATCCAGCCAGATAAAATGCTGATTAGCATTTTTCTATGCCTGAACTGTATGTTTGAATTTACACTATTGTTTTAAAAACTATAAAAGAGTAAATGAACATATATAAACTTTAAATTTATATATTTTATATATATAAATGTATTTTAAATATATGTATATATATATATATATATATATATATATATATATATATATATATATATATATATATATACATATATATACATATATATATACATATATATATATATATATATATATATATATATATATATATATATATATATATATATATATATATATATATATATATATATATATATATATATATATATATATATATGTATGTATATAAATACATATAATACATATACTAAATATATGTGTGTGTGTATATATATATATATATATATATATATATATATATATATATATATATATATATATATATATATATAAAAGAGTTAATGAACACATATAAACTAAGTTTATTTGGTTTTTAAATTTTTGAAAAATTAAAAAAGTCTAAAAATAATTTTAAAATTTACCCCCAGTGTCAAACATTTGAAAAAAGTGTTGGAAATCAAAAAACAAACATTCGATATGAATATTTTTTTTTTTTTTAAGTTTTTTAGGTGACATTAATGATCGTGTGACTTTTGAATCATTTTGTTTTGTTGTTCGATCATTTACTGCTGTTGGAAATGCAGCTTCTTCTACAGCAGCTATTTCTATACTCAGTCACACTTTTCCAGAAAACATGTCTACTGTATTTGTGAGCACTTTAATATATTTTATTATATATTATATATATCGAATATTTTAATTGTATTTTTATACTTTTAATGTTAATTTTTATTTACTTTAGGGTGTTTTAGAGCTTTTTACTGGTCTTGGATTTATGACAGGGCCACCTCTTGGTGGCTTTTTATATCAGGTGATAAATGTTTATATTTTTCTATAAAACAAGCCTTTCCAGGAAGAAAATAGCCAGTGTGTGATAATTGCACATCATTGTATGAAAAAAAGTCAGGTAATTATTAAAAACAAGCATTTTTTTAATTAGTTTTATTTTTGTCTTTTTGGGAGACATAATGTATGTATTGTAATAATAATGAAAATAGCATGATATTTTATGAGAAAATATAATATAAGGACACTTTTAATTAATAAATTGGTCTGGCTAAACAGCTCAAACAGTGTCTGTGTTAACTTGTGTTATTTACTCTTCAATCTGTCTTGTTTTTTGCTTTTATCTTTATAAATAAAACTTGAATAGAAATAAAAGATTTAGTAATATAGTGGTATTTTATTTTAACAAGACTAATTGTTACAAAAAATTTTTATAACATTCCACCACACCTTATTTTTTTAGTTGACATTTGTTTAAAAGGTTAGGTTAGGTTAAGCAATAAAAAAATCCATAGTGGTGGAATTGACAACATATTTAAAACCTGCTCCAAAACTTTATTTATAAAAATGTAAGTCTATTTTTTATGGTTGCATGCTGTTTATTGTACACCGTAAGGTATAATATAAGTTTATGGTGTGTGAAAAGATATGCATGTGCGGTTGCACGTTGTTTCTGGGAAGGCTTGTAAAAGGTAATTTTATTTAGTCAACTTAATATTTATTCATTTTTAATATTGTTTTATTGTATTTACATTTTTACTAGTATGGTGGCTTCAAATTACCTTTTCTTGTCACTGGCTCAATGGTACTAGTTGTTGTGTTTGTGGTGTTTTGGGTATTACCTTCTGAAAGTGGTACTATTTTAATTTTTTGTGGGGTATTACCTTTTGAAAGCAGTATTTTTTTATTATTATTATTTTTTTATTTTTTATTTTTGCAAGGGTATTACTTTTTGAAAGGTGTTTTGGGTACTAAAAGCAGTATTATTTTTATACTTTTAGAATGAAAACAGAACTAAAACTTATTTGATTTTAATTTGTTTATATTTATTTAAAAAATTTATGTTGCTGGTAAGGTTTTTTTATTTGGTATAGCTTACCAAGATCAATCCTATGATAAAGTGGCGGAAAAAAAAATTGAGACTGGATCTTTGCTTCAAACTATATTTGTTCCTGGTATACTTATTTTAGGTATGTTTTTAAGATGTTATATTTTCATCAGATAATCTTGTATACAATTTGATTATTTAGTATAATTTGAATATACACTAGACGACTGATCTTACAAATCCTACAAGAATCCTATAGGATGAGATGCACAAGTTCCTGCAGGACTTGCAAGAATCTTTTGAAGGATCTTGTAGGATTTGAAGGAATTCTTATAAGATAATATAAGATCTAAAAAAATATTTTAAAAGATCTTGCAGGATTAACAGAATTCTTATAGGATGCTGAAGAAAAATTTTAGATTCGTATATATACGGCCGTAGCCCTCTCCTTTAATCCAGAACTGGTTCCTATAGGAACCAGTGATAGATTAAAGAGGAGGGGGCTAGGGCCCTAAAATTTCGGGATTCCGAAATTATTAAGCGGACCTTTTTCTTTTTCTACTGTTTTAGTCGTTTTTATGCTGTGGTACGTTAACAAAGGACTCCGGGCCCTGAAAAATCTTAATACGCCAATGATAGGAACCATAACATTTATTATTTTATAATTAATATCATAAATCTAATAACCAAACTAAGAATATACGAAGTTAGGTTTTTATTTTGATTGGAAGGAAAGTATGTCTATTCTTCTTTTTAATTACTGATAATAGGTAAGTTAAAGTTTGAAATAGCATTTTCTTATTAAAAAAAAATCATTCTGTATAAAAGAAATTTTTCACATATTATCATTATTACAGAATCACAATTGCATTGCTGATTACTTTCGTTTTTTCTTCCTATCTAGGCCGCTCTGATTAAAACTTCGTCTGACGCACGCCCACGAATAATTGGCAAATACTGTTGCGAGTTGCTCTTTGAGCTTTCGTATTATTGCATCAGGAACAGTGGTTCTATAATAAGAAATAAAGATATATAAAAAAAAATCATAGAAATCAGGCAATTAATCATTAATTAAAAATTTAAAACCCGTCCCGCCCCTTCACCCATCGCAACACAAGGGAGGGGGGGATTATTACCCCCTGACAAAATTTTTAAATTATTTAAAGAGTATGACTAAGTAAAAAGTAAAAACACTTGAAATTTTAGCTACTTGCTCCAAATATTTAGGCGAATTTAAGTAAAAAAAAATTCATTTGAAATGCCTAATCTGAGCATATTAGTCAAATCCATGGATCGATTCTGTCAAACGAATGACTGGTCAAAAACTTAAATTTTGAATTCTGGCTTTTCTTTGTAATCTTGAAGTTTCATATTTTCCAAGAAGCTTTTTTTTATACTTACATATTTTTAATTATTTCAATAAATGAAGTATGAGAAGTTGTTAGTCCAAGATTTTACTTTTTTGGATCTGGATCATGATCCAACAAGTTAAACTAATTGATCCCAAATTTTCAAAATAGGTTAAGAAAAATAGAAAATCTAATAAAAACCCAAGCACTGAAAGTATGATTTTCTAAATAACTCCCTCCCACCCTGTGCCAACAACTTATAAAAAATAGGTAAGCCTTAAAGCTGCTGCCCAATAACATTACCTACATAAAAATGCCCTAATTAAAAAACCTACCTATCAACCATGAGTTGTATTCAGGCTTTCTCTAAAACATTTTAAATTTAATAGTATCGTGTTAAAAATACAACAAACTTTCATACTTTAAAAAATATATATATATATAATATGTATATATATATATATATATATATATATATATATATATATATATATATATATATATATATATATATATATATATATATATATATATATATATATATATATATATATATATATATATATATATATAATATGTAAAATAAATATATAACAATTTTCATTATTAATTTTTATTAATTAATTAGAGTATAGTTTAAATACAATAATAATTATTAATACAACAAAATTTATGTATTATGGTACCAAGTTTATAAAATTTTCATAAAATCCATAATATAAAATAATCATGATATAGCAACTATTTATATATTTCTTTAACAAAAATTAAAAAGATATTAGATTCTCAAACAGCATGTTCATTATAAGGAACATGCTGTTTGAGAATCTAATATCTTAATTTTTATCTAATATCTTAATTTTTGTGATTTGTGACGTGATATAAATGCGCTAGTGACGTGATTTAAATGCGCTATTGGAAGGCATTATGAATTGCGGGAAAATAAATAGCACTTGAGTGCTATTTATTTTCCCGCAATTCATAATGCCTAATGATTTAAATCACGTCACTCTACGACTCAATTTACTCAGAAAGTCACGCATTTCAATGTACACTCTGATTGCGAGAAAATTTTTTAATTCAACTAGATTTTTTTGGTAATAATTTAATTTTAACGTAAGGGACAGATTGTCCCGGGCGGCAGATTTCCAAGGGGCACCAAATAGAATGAAGGTACCTTGGAACAAAGGTCCTTTACCGATAATATAGGAGAATTTTGATAATTAAGAACGCCAATCATGTTGCTGTCCCGGGCGGCGAAACAGTTCTTTGCGGCATTTTATATATATATATATAGTTATTTGTTATTATTTAATTTTTTTACAACACTTTTATTTATATGCATTCAATAAAAATATATTTTAATTATTTTGTAATTATAATATATTTTTATTTATTTCCATACTTATAATGTTGTGTAGCGCAGGTGGTAAGGCACTAATGGTCTAGTGATCCGGGTTTCAAAACCCACCACCGATAATTTTCATTTTTTCAAATAAATTAAAAAAATGGAAAATCTTGCGAATCCTTTAAGATACCCTACAGGATAATTACAGGATTTCTTATGATTTTATAGGATTTGCAAGACAAATAAAATCTTACGAATCCTTTAAGATACCCTATGGGTAATCACAGGATTTCTTATGGTCCTATAGGATTTGAAAGACAAATAAAATCTTACAAATCCTGTAAGATATCCTGTAGGATAGTATAAGATTATATGCGATCCTATAAGACTCGTAAGTTGTCTGTAAGATAGTCGACTAGTGTATAAATACAATGTAACATAAATATATAATGTATAAAAGTTTTTTTACAAATGATTGTTTTATAATTTTTTTTTTTTAGCTGTTACTCGTGTATTTGGTTCTATGGTAATTGCTTTCCTTGATCCAACAATCACATTGCAAATCACATCTTTAAATGTTAGTTTGTGATTTTGTATCTAAATTTAAATATTTTTTTTAGTTATTGATATTTTCTATATAGATTTAATAATAAAAAAATATTAATGAGAACAAATAGGTTTAGTTTTTAGTTTTGTAGTTAATTTTTAATTTTCATTATTTATTAGAATAATAAGGTCGTTTATTTTTTGTTTTCATTTTTAAATTAAAGTTATTTCATATGAGACTTTTTTTTAGAATATGTTAGATTTAATATAAATATTTGATATATATATATATATATATATATATTTGATGTAAAGAATAAATTAAAATCTTACTTTTGATTGTCATTTTTAAGCTTTGACTGTCTTGATATTTACTGATAGATTATATAAATTGTTATTAGTATATATTATTACTATAATTATTTTTGAATTATACTTTGTTTAGAAAAACATTTCTCTGCAAAAAATTGGGTTGATTTTTTTGCTACCAGCTGTATTTTATGCTTTGTCTGCACCATGTGTTGGATATTTAACTGATAAAAAGGTTTCTTTTATGTTGCATAAAAAGATATACATGATATATATGTACATTGAACTAACATTTTGTTTCTTATAGCTTAATGGGCGAAATGTGATAATTAGTGGTGCTTTTTTTGTTGGTACTATATACTTGCTTCTTGGTCCCTCTCCTTTGTTGTCGTCATTTATTCCAAGGTAGTTGTTATTATAAAGAATATTTATAATTAACAGTTCTTAATTTTGGTTTTGATACATATGTCTTTATAGGAAGTTGTATATTTTATTGATTGCAGTTGGAGCATTAGGGTTAGGTGTATCTTGCTTCCTTGTACCTATTTTATCTAATATGCATCGAGCAGGAAGGTAATGATCTATTTTGTAAATACAGCTATACTTGTATAACAGCATAGTTGCATTTAACATTTTGTGATAAATGCAAGTATGTTGTTGAATATGTATGCTTTTTTAATTTTAAATAATTTGCTAAACACAAAAACCAGTTTTTAAAACATTTTTTTTTTTATTTCAGTAAGGTCGGATTGCCTGAAACAATGGGAACAAAAACAGTGATATCAGGGATATTCAACAGCTGTTTCAGCATTGGGTAGATATGATTTTTTTCAAATTATTTAGTTATATTTCTTTTTGTTGTTTTTTAACACACACAGTGTTTTTCATTTACAAAGCCAAACTTAAACTAATAAACTTATATATGTTGTTTAAAATGCTAATAACCTATTTTGTTTTTAATTTTTATTTACTTAGATATATTTTTTAATAATTGTTATATTTTTCAAATTTTGCTTTATATAATATAAAATAATGAACTTTACTGTATGGCCTGTTCCACATATAACTTATGTTACATGCACAACATCTTTATCAAATTGTATCCTATTTAAACTTAATTTTTAGCAACTATTTATAAAGACTGTTAGTCTGAAGAATAAAATAAGCTCAAAAGTTTTGAGTCTGACGAAAGGATAGCAAATGGAAGTAAAATAGGTAATTTTACAAAGCGAAAAAGTTGGAATTGAAGTTCTAAGTTTATGCAAATAACTGGTTGCTCTCTTACTTAGAGATTTTTCATTATTTTAGAAAGTTGAATGAAAGTTATGAAACAATTTTTAAATAAAATTTTTAATAAAAACAATTTTTTTTTCTTGAAGAGCAAGAGCTAATATTTTTTCATTTTGTAAATAAAAAAAACATTTTTAAAAATTTTTAAATAATAAAAACATTTTTAAAAAATAATAGAAACATTTTTAAAAAATAATAGAAACATTTTTAAAAAAGCGTCAAAACTTTTAGGTTAATTAGCAAAGTTTTAATGTTATGCAATTCAAATTTAAAATGTGTTTTGACTGAGCTTCATTATTCAAAACTTAAAAACAATTAAATGTAAAAGCATAAGATTTAATATTAACACACATATATTAATAAGTAAGTTCAGTTTTTTGACGAAACTTTAGGAAAAGTATAACTTTATGGTGTATTTTTTAACTTACATTACATAAATTTGTTTTGTAACATAAAAAAAAAGTTCTTATTTTAATTCCTTGAAATTTCTTTATAAAAAAAGTAAAATATTTGACCAATAACATATGAAAGATGCTAGCTCTAATTTCAGAGAATAATTTATTTAATGCAATTAAATTCACAATAAAAATAACATTTTACAATGATACCTTTTTTATCCTCAGACATAAAAAATACAATGACTTTTGGTACCATTAAACAACTTAAATAAAATTATTTGTTATTAAAAATATATTTTAAACTTTCATGTGCTTACTTCAATACTCATCTGTTGAAAATTAACAAAAAAAAAAAGATTGAAAATTGATTACTTGAATATTTTCTACTGTGGAACACGCCATACTTTAATGTAAGTCCTCAGTTGCAGTTTATTTATTTTACAATTTGTTATAAATTTTTTGTTTGAAAAACTTATTTAATTGTGTATGATTTTTGCATATTATTAGTTATGGTAATGTATAAATAAAAAATTTTTAGTTCAGTAATTGGACCAACTCTTGGTGGCTTTCTCACCGAACATTTCTCATTTCAGTGGGCTTCAACAGTAAATTATTTCATTTTACATTACACAATGTATTCATATATATATATATACATACTAGGGTGTCCCAAAAAACAACATTTTTAAAAATTTTATGCTGCCACCCCCTCAATGTGTTCTACCTGATTAAAAAAAACTGGTTTAAAAAATTTTTTCTTAATTGATAAACTACTTTAAAGTTCTTTAAAGTAGTGAATATTTTTCTGTATACTTCTGCCTTAACTTCCTGTTTTTTTTTTTTGAAAAAGGCGACAGTTTATTTAATATACTAATATATAACTTGTTATTAAAAATTGAATCTTATTTATAATCAACAAACTGCTATTTGATTTTTATAGTATAAATTGAGTGTCTGATATAAAGTTATTAAGTTATTCAGGTTATCAAGTTATTCAAGTTTTTAAGTTGTTCAAATTTTCAAGTTAAAAAGTAAAGTTTCAGTATAGAGTCACACTAGCAACATATCTGAGTTGAGGTTAAGATAAAGTTTGTGGAGAGGAAACTATCATGGAAAATGAATCAATATTTGTTGTAAAGCTTAGTGTAAGTTCAATATTCAGTATAAAAAAGAATTACTTCCTGAGAAATTCATAACATATAAATACAATAACATGAGAACTTTATGTCCATTTTAAGGATGTTTTGGATAAAGCAGGATTTTTAATTACAAATTATTTAAAAGAATTCAAAAAATTGAAAAATTTTGTAAAGGTAAATTACCTTGGTAAACCAGCCTGTGATATATCTTTAAAAATACTTTAAAAAGTTGATGGACAGAGTACCCAACTTTATGCTAAATAGCAAGTTTATCATCAGTAGAACGAGTCTTTAGTCTTCTGACAATGCTTATGTCAGACCAAAGACTCAGAATCAACCACAAAACACTTAATGCTATCTTGGCCATTAAAATCAATGATCCAATTTTAGTGATAATGATAGGAAAAATGTAATCGAAAGGGTTACTGATATATTTTTACAAAAACAGCAAATGGCTATTTTCGATCCAATGATTCAACCTGCTACAATAGTAAATGATGAAAAATATAACGTGAAATGAATAGAAAAGAAATTTGGAAACAACTGAATTGAGTAAAAGTAAAAAAACTGTTTCGATCTTGAATTTGTAGATATTTTGGGCTAATTTGTTTAAAATGCATATTTATAAATAATTTATAACTATATATACTCCTTTTGAATGATAAAAATAAAACTATATGATTTCTTCATATTTTATTTTTGTTCTTATACTTGCGCTCTATTAAATAAATTTAATTTTTTTTTTTTTTTTTTATTATTTTGTTATTTAGGTGACCCAAGAAGACCTAATGGTCTTGTCACAGAGCACAGCGGAAGTGCATTTAACCAGGAAGTTCACACCTCCTTCCTTACCATGATGCAAAAATATGTCTAGAGCTCGTTTCAAACCTGGATCTCCTGCTACTATAGCAAGCGCTCTAACCACTGCTCCATGGCCGCGTAGCAGCTGTGGCGCAGTGGTTAGAGCGCTTTTACAGCAATAAACCTGATTTTAAAGCAATAAATCTGATTTTACAGCAATAAACTTGACATTTATTTTACATTTTAGATTTTACAGCAATAAATCTGATATATAAAATACTTGATTTTACAGCAATAAACCTGATATATAAAATAATACTGCATTTAATACCCTTCTATTGGTTCTACTCATTATAAAATGTAAAAAAGATTTGTTTTTTTCTCAAGTTCATATTACACTTTTTTTTATACATACCTATATTATATAAGAAGAATATATACCAGAATCTTAAAAAATCTATTTGTACTAAGCCTCTTAGAAATTAAAAATTAGATTACCTCAAATTTTGACTTATATACCACATCAACATAACATATATTTTCTCCTAATTTCCGAAAAGAATATAAAATCAATTACGAGTTTATAAAAGAGTATGATTGAAACACAAGTATTAAATTGAACAGAAATGATAGTAATAATTAAAATTTTCTAATTAAATTGTCTAAATTTAATATTCAAATAGAAATTGCAAAATTGCAAAATTTTTTATGCAAACAAGATGCTTGAATAAAGAAACATGATAATTGCCAAGGTTGTTTTTCTGCTATTTTTTGCATTGTTTGCAAATTACTGGTTTGACCAATTATACAACTGATAAAAATGGAGAATAAAAGAATAAAGTCTGAATAAAATTTGGGAAACAAAACCAAAACAAAAACATAATAACAAAAACTCACAAGTAGAGCGCACAATAACATCTCTGAGCGAAAGATAAAAACTGCAATGTAACTTCGAAAAATTATTGTCTCATCTTTACAAGTATCCAACTTTTCGAAGTTTAACTACCAAAGTCTTTTTAAATGATTTGTCACTCTTCTACTTGTTAATAAAGTGATTCGTGACGTTAGAATAATAGGGTTCTATCTCCATTTTTTAAGGTTGTGAGAATTTAACTTCAATTTTTAATTGTTTAATTGTTTTACAGTTGTTGTTGTTTATATTGATAAAATATATATTTTTTATGTTTTTTATGTTTTATAATTAATATTACATTATTAATTTCATAACTTTTATAATTAATTGTTTACAAATTAATTGTTAATTCCAACTTTTTTTTTTTTACGGCTGCACACCCCTGGGAATAACATTGTCTTTTATAAAAATAAATGACTGAATCACGTTGCCTCAAGCCCCTAGTGTAATAACAAATGGATGCATGGAAGAAGTATGTCTTTTTGCATTAGTTATAGTCTCCATAGCTGTAGTGTTCTTTGTAAAAATAAAAATAATTATGATACAATATAGAAGCAAAGTTATTATTGAACTAGTTTATAGCACATGCCATTTAGCTAGAAGTATTAAACTTAAAAATAAAAAACTTAGAGGAAAGATTTTAATAAAGTGAGCTGCAATTTTAGCTGTAGACGGTCAATCCTTATTTCTAGGGACACTTAAAGAATGTACGGAAGCAAGTGAAATGCAAATTCCATATTTCAATCTTTGATTTTCAAAAACATTTAAAAACTCAAACAGTACATATTTCAGAAAAAAGAAAATAGCTTTAAATAGTTAGTGAAAGTTATAAAATATAAAAACAGTAATTAAAGAAAACAATGTGACATACTATTTGAAGGTATTAGCTGGCTGTCAAGCTCTAAAAGTAGTTGATTTGCCATTGGATTTTCTCTTTCTACAAGCCCAAGAAATAACATGAGAAGCCATATCCTCCTATTTTGAATGTTGCTGTAAACTCTCTCTGAAACTAATATAATGATAATTAAGAGTCCTTAAATGTTTATTAAACAAAAAATCAATTTTACTCTTGCAATACTCCAATAGCAGTAATCCAAGACATTAGAATATACACTACAAATCCTATATCTTTAAATGGGGGAAATTTGCGAATAACCTTATGAAAATGCAGTTTTAATGACATAATCCAGTTTCTTTGTGATACCCTAGTTTTTTAAAGAATAAATTTTTTTTGATCATACTGAATGTCATCAAATGACAACTCACTTATAATGTTTCGTTCTTCATTTGAAAAAGGAACTAAAAAAAATAGTTAAGCATCATATGTTGTATATATAAGCATGACTTACAGTTTTATTAGGCTTACCTGCAACATCAAAAGTTGTTTGGGAAATTTTTTTTTTCTAGTAATTTGGGCATAGACACCATAAAACT